CAGGGTGGGTTTATTTTTGTTTTCCCGGTGGGTTTTTGGGGTGAATTTGGAGGATTTTGGACTCCTGGGACCACTCGAGGTTCATGCCCGACTGCACGGCCAAGGCCGCCAGCAGCTCCTGCTGCTCGGGGCACTTGGGGATTTTTTTTACAGAAATTTTCAGGGATTCTGGGATGATTTTTGGGATGGTTTTTGGGATTATTTTTGGGGAGATTTCAGAGATTTTTGGAGGATTTTCCAGGATGATTTCTGGAATATTTTCACCGATTTTTTACCCATGTTCGGAGCGGTTTTTGCGCGTTTCTCAGGCGGGTTTTCGGGTTTTTTGGGGGATTTTTTCACATTAATTTTCAGGGTTTTCGGGATGATTTTTGGGATGATTTTTGCGATGGTTTTCAGGGAGATTTCAGAGATTTTGGAGGATTTTTCAGGGTGATTTTTGGAGGGTTTTCAACGATTTTTCAGCAATGTTCAGAGTGCTTTTTGCGCATTTCTCAGGCCGGTTTTCAGGGGGTTTTTTTGATTTTTTTGGGGAATAATTTTCAGGGATTTTGGGATGATTTTTGGGATGGTTTTCAGGGAGATTTCAGAGATTTTTGGAGGATTTTCCAGGATGATTTCTGGAATATTTTCAGCGATTTTTCAGCAATGCTCGGAGCGCTTTTTGCGTGTTTCTCATGCGGATTTTTGGGTTTTTTGGGGATTTTTTTCACATTAATTTTCAGGGATTTTGGGATGATTTTTGGGATGGTTTTTGGGGAGATTTCAGAGATTTTTGTAGGATTTTTCAGGATGATTTCTGGAATATTTTCACCGATTTTTCAGCAATGCTCAGAGCGCTTTTTGCGCGCTTTTCAGGCGGGTTTTCAGTTTTTTGGGGGATTTTTTTTACATTAATTTTCAGGGTTTTCGGGATGATTTTTGGGAGACTTTCAGGAAGATTTCAGCGATTTTGGAGGATTTTTCAGGGTGATTTTTGGAGGGTTTTCACCGATTTTTTACCGATTTTTCAGCAACGTTCAGAGCGCTTTTTGCGCATTTCTCAGGCCGGTTTTCAGGGCTTTTTTGGGATTTTTTCACAGAAATTTTCAGGGATTTTGGGATGGTTTTTGGGATTATTTTTGGGGAGATTTCAGAGATTTTTGGAGGATTTTCCAGGATGATTCCTGGAATATTTTCACCGATTTTTCAGTGATGTTTGGAGCGGTTTTTGTGCATTTCTCAGGCGGGTTTTCAGGTTTTTTGGGGATTTTTTCACAGAAATTTTCAGGGATTTTGGGATGATTTTTGGGATGATTTTTGGGATGGTTTTCAGGGAGATTTCACAGATTTTTTGAGAATTTTCCAGGATGATTCCTGGAATATTTTCACCTCCTTTTCACCCATTTTTCACCGACATTCGCAGCGCTTTCCGCGACTTTGTTTTTTCGTTCCCGGGGCGATTTTTTTGAGGTTTTGGCCGATTTTTTTTTTGTTTTTTGGGGTGAATTTGGGGGATTTTGGACTCACTTCTGGGACCACTCGAGGTTCATGCCCGACTGCATGGCGAAGGCCGCCAGCATCTCCTGCTGCTCGGCCGTCAGGGTGGGCACGGGGCTGGAGGAGGGCGTGGGCGCGGGGAGGGCGAAGGCTTTGCGCAGCTCCTCGGGGCTGGCGCCGCGCACAAAGAGCTCGTCATTGACAATGCAGAGCCTGCGGACACCGGGGGAAAAATGGGGG